GTTTGGTCTGTTTTGTTCTAGAATACTACCTGGCCCAGCATAGGTGTTGAAAACACTGTGGGACGTGGGGTCACAAAGTCTGTGTCACTTACCAGCCTCCTTCATATTCTAACTGCCCAGTCAGGTGTGGGTCCTCCATAGGAAGCCACAGGAGGCCTTTTCCACCTGCCCCTACACCTGGCACGCCTGGATTCTAGGAGAAGGTGCATGCCTGCTGTCTTGTCACTGAAGACTTTTACCCAAAGGAGGAAGTCAAGGAACCCTGGTACCTTCTGAAAGGCCACTGGAGTGGCCGCGCACAGGCTGGGAAGGTGTGAGTTCACACGTGCTTTTAACAGCAGTGTCAGCATGGGAAGAGGGATAGATATGCTTCTTTTTCTCTTGCTAGTTTAAAAATTCCCCTGCTACAACAAAAAACTTTGGACATTATACAGAAAATGAATAAGAAGACTCCAAAGGGTGGAGAGAGGAAGGCCGAGCAGCCAGGGACCTCAGAACCCAAGGGGCTACATGGTGATGAGTTTCCTGGTTTGCTACGTTTCTAGTTTTTGCTTCCTATATCCCAGACTCGCTAGTGAAGAAGCCAGCAACCCAGAAATACCATCAGACATGGACAGAAGAGCTATATAACTAGCTGAAGGCCTGAACAGAGTAAAAGGCTGGCCCTGCTGTGAGCAGGAGGGGACTCTTCCTGCCTCACTGCCTGGAGGGGGGACATTGGTCTTTTCCGACCTTCAGCCTGGAACTTGCCCATCAGCTTTTCTTGGTCTCCAGCTTGCTGACCAGAGGTCTTGGAGCCTCTCAGCCTCCATAATCATGTAAACCAGCACACGTGCACACACACACACACATAAGTCCTAACATATCAATAATTACATTAAATGATGTAAATATTCTACATATACTGATTAAAAGGCAGAGTGACAGAGTAGATTTTTTTAAATGAAGCAATTTAGTTCTTCTTGGCGGAATTTTCATTATCCTGGTCATTTTCTTTGCTTTGAAATCTATTTTATCTGATATTAACAGCCACACCTGCTTTCTTTTGATCAGTGTTTGCATGATACCTCTTTTTTCCATCCATCCTGTTACTTCCAATCTACCTACACTGTTGTATTTGAAAACTATAGGCCAATATACCTTGTGAATATAGATGCAAAAATCCTTAACAAAATTTTATCAAATCAAATTGAACAAAATATGAAAAGTATACTCTATGCCCAAGTAGAGTTTACTTCAGGGATGCAAGGTTGGTTCAATATTCAAAAATCAAGCCATGTAATTTACCTTAGTAACAGACTAAAGAAGAGAAATCATTTGATGATATCAATCAATGCAGAAAAAACATCTGACAAAATTCAACATCTTTTCATGATTAAAAAAAAATCTCAGAAATACAGGAACAGAAAGGGAATTCCTAAGGTAAAGAACACCTACAAAACCCCTACAGCTAACACACTTAATGTGAAAGACTGGATGATTTTCCCCCGAAACCAGGGACAAAGCTAGGATGTCTACTCTCATTACTTTTATCCAACACAGTGCTGGGAGTTCTAGCCAGTGCAGTAAGGCAAGAAAAGGAAATAAAAGACCTCTAGGTTGGCAAGGAAGAAATCAAACTGTTCCTATTAACAGATGAAATGATTGTGTTTGTAGCAAATCCCAAAAAGTGTGTAACAAAAGTAAACCAAAACAGTCCTACAACTAATAAGTTCAGCAAGATTCTAGGATACATGATGAACACGCAAAAAGTCATTTGCATTTCTATATACTAACAATGAATATGCAAACACCAAAATTAGAATCACAAAACTACTTACACTTGTTCAAAAAATGAAGTACTTAGGTGTATGTCTAATAAAACAGGTATAGGACCTGCATGCTGGAAACTACAAAACATTGAAGAAAGAAACCAATGAAGCTCTTAATAAATGGAGAGACATATCACGTTCATGGACTGCAAGACTCAATATAATAAAGATGTTAATTTTCTCCAAGTTGATATATGAATTTAATGTAATTCTTACCAAAATCCTGGTAAGATTTTTTTTATGGATAGATACAAGACTGTTCTAAAATTTGTATGGAAAATCAAAGGAACTAAATGGCTAAAACAATTTTGAAAAAGAATAAAATGGGAGGAATTGGTCTTATAGGTTTCAAGATTTATTATATAGTTACAGCAGTCAAGACTGGGGGGACTGTCGTTGGATGGACAGACACACAGATCAACAGTGAAGAATAGAGAACCCAGAAATGCACCCACACAAATATGCCCAACTGATTCTTAGAATTAACTTTTATTACTGTAAAATACACATAATATAAAACATATCATTTTAATCATTTGAAATTTCAAAATTCAGTAGCAATTAGTATATCACACTGTTACATAAGCATTACCACTATTTCCAGAACTTTTTGATCTCCCCAAAGGGAAAGGTCGTACTCACTAGGCAGTCACTCCCTATTCCCCGTCTCCCCAGCCAGTGGAAATCACCAATCTGCTCTTCCATGGATCTGCCTGTTCTGGGTGTTTCATGTAAATGGAATCATACCATATGTGGCTTATTTTGCTTAGCATGTTTTATAGGTCTATACACATTGTAGCATGTATCAGTACTTCACTCTTTTTTATGGCTAAGTAACACTCTATTGCACGGATGGACCACCTGTGGTTTATCCATTCTTCCGTAGATGGATGTTTGGATTGTTTCCACCCTTGGCTGCTGTGAATAGTGCTGCTATGAATGTTCGTGTCCAAGTTTTGTTTGGACATCTGCTTTCAGTTCTCTTGGGTGTATGCCTGGCTGTGGAATCGCTGGTTTTAATTCTATGTTTTGAGAAACCACCAAATGTTTTTCCACAGTGGGTACACCATTTTATGTTCCCAACTGTCAGTGTCCAAGGGTTCTGATTTCTGCATACCTTTACCCACACTTGTTATTTTCTGTTTTTTGGTAATTGCCATCCTAGTGGGTGTGAAGTGGTATCTCAATTGGTTTTAATTTGCATTTCTCTAATGATTAGTGATGTTCAGCATCTTTCATGGGGAAACTGAGGCCCAGAAAGGATCACACAGCTAGCTGGTGACCAAGAGGGTGTGAAAGTCCTGGTAAAGTGTGACCAGGAGACCAAACCTCCACTGGTGCCCCACCACCTGGGAGGTACTCAGGGGGTAGTGTCCAAGGTCCCCCTTGCCCTGTTCCTTGAGATGGGCCTGGGATGGTATTCCAAGTACCCTGAGGTCATTCTGACTCAGAACTCCTGACCCCTGAGACCCCAGCCCTTTTGGGAGAGCAGCACAGACTGAAGTTTCCACCTGGGGCAAGGGAAAAGGATCAGCATCCAGGCGTCCTTGAGGCAGCCAAGGCCATACAGCCAAGGAACAGGGCCCCTCTAGTCCTACCCTGCCCTGACACTGGATGCTGTGAGCAGGAGGGGACTCTTCCTGCCTCACTGCCTGGAGGGGGGACATTGGTCTTTTCCGACCTTCAGCCTGGAACTTGCCCATCAGCTTTTCTTGGTCTCCAGCTTGCTGACCAGAGGTCTTGGAGCCTCTCAGCCTCCATAATCATGTAAACCAGCACACGTGCACACACACACACACATAAGTCCTAACATATCAATAATTACATTAAATGATGTAAATATTCTACATATACTGATTAAAAGGCAGAGTGACAGAGTAGATTTTTTTAAATGAAGCAATTTAGTTCTTCTTGGCGGAATTTTCATTATCCTGGTCATTTTCTTTGCTTTGAAATCTATTTTATCTGATATTAACAGCCACACCTGCTTTCTTTTGATCAGTGTTTGCATGATACCTCTTTTTTCCATCCATCCTGTTACTTCCAATCTACCTACACTGTTGTATTTGAAAACTATAGGCCAATATACCTTGTGAATATAGATGCAAAAATCCTTAACAAAATTTTATCAAATCAAATTGAACAAAATATGAAAAGTATACTCTATGCCCAAGTAGAGTTTACTTCAGGGATGCAAGGTTGGTTCAATATTCAAAAATCAAGCCATGTAATTTACCTTAGTAACAGACTAAAGAAGAGAAATCATTTGATGATATCAATCAATGCAGAAAAAACATCTGACAAAATTCAACATCTTTTCATGATTAAAAAAAAATCTCAGAAATACAGGAACAGAAAGGGAATTCCTAAGGTAAAGAACACCTACAAAACCCCTACAGCTAACACACTTAATGTGAAAGACTGGATGATTTTCCCCCGAAACCAGGGACAAAGCTAGGATGTCTACTCTCATTACTTTTATCCAACACAGTGCTGGGAGTTCTAGCCAGTGCAGTAAGGCAAGAAAAGGAAATAAAAGACCTCTAGGTTGGCAAGGAAGAAATCAAACTGTTCCTATTAACAGATGAAATGATTGTGTTTGTAGCAAATCCCAAAAAGTGTGTAACAAAAGTAAACCAAAACAGTCCTACAACTAATAAGTTCAGCAAGATTCTAGGATACATGATGAACACGCAAAAAGTCATTTGCATTTCTATATACTAACAATGAATATGCAAACACCAAAATTAGAATCACAAAACTACTTACACTTGTTCAAAAAATGAAGTACTTAGGTGTATGTCTAATAAAACAGGTATAGGACCTGCATGCTGGAAACTACAAAACATTGAAGAAAGAAACCAATGAAGCTCTTAATAAATGGAGAGACATATCACGTTCATGGACTGCAAGACTCAATATAATAAAGATGTTAATTTTCTCCAAGTTGATATATGAATTTAATGTAATTCTTACCAAAATCCTGGTAAGATTTTTTTTATGGATAGATACAAGACTGTTCTAAAATTTGTATGGAAAATCAAAGGAACTAAATGGCTAAAACAATTTTGAAAAAGAATAAAATGGGAGGAATTGGTCTTATAGGTTTCAAGATTTATTATATAGTTACAGCAGTCAAGACTGGGGGGACTGTCGTTGGATGGACAGACACACAGATCAACAGTGAAGAATAGAGAACCCAGAAATGCACCCACACAAATATGCCCAACTGATTCTTAGAATTAACTTTTATTACTGTAAAATACACATAATATAAAACATATCATTTTAATCATTTGAAATTTCAAAATTCAGTAGCAATTAGTATATCACACTGTTACATAAGCATTACCACTATTTCCAGAACTTTTTGATCTCCCCAAAGGGAAAGGTCGTACTCACTAGGCAGTCACTCCCTATTCCCCGTCTCCCCAGCCAGTGGAAATCACCAATCTGCTCTTCCATGGATCTGCCTGTTCTGGGTGTTTCATGTAAATGGAATCATACCATATGTGGCTTATTTTGCTTAGCATGTTTTATAGGTCTATACACATTGTAGCATGTATCAGTACTTCACTCTTTTTTATGGCTAAGTAACACTCTATTGCACGGATGGACCACCTGTGGTTTATCCATTCTTCCGTAGATGGATGTTTGGATTGTTTCCACCCTTGGCTGCTGTGAATAGTGCTGCTATGAATGTTCGTGTCCAAGTTTTGTTTGGACATCTGCTTTCAGTTCTCTTGGGTGTATGCCTGGCTGTGGAATCGCTGGTTTTAATTCTATGTTTTGAGAAACCACCAAATGTTTTTCCACAGTGGGTACACCATTTTATGTTCCCAACTGTCAGTGTCCAAGGGTTCTGATTTCTGCATACCTTTACCCACACTTGTTATTTTCTGTTTTTTGGTAATTGCCATCCTAGTGGGTGTGAAGTGGTATCTCAATTGGTTTTAATTTGCATTTCTCTAATGATTAGTGATGTTCAGCATCTTTCATGGGGAAACTGAGGCCCAGAAAGGATCACACAGCTAGCTGGTGACCAAGAGGGTGTGAAAGTCCTGGTAAAGTGTGACCAGGAGACCAAACCTCCACTGGTGCCCCACCACCTGGGAGGTACTCAGGGGGTAGTGTCCAAGGTCCCCCTTGCCCTGTTCCTTGAGATGGGCCTGGGATGGTATTCCAAGTACCCTGAGGTCATTCTGACTCAGAACTCCTGACCCCTGAGACCCCAGCCCTTTTGGGAGAGCAGCACAGACTGAAGTTTCCACCTGGGGCAAGGGAAAAGGATCAGCATCCAGGCGTCCTTGAGGCAGCCAAGGCCATACAGCCAAGGAACAGGGCCCCTCTAGTCCTACCCTGCCCTGACACTGGGACCTCCCTCCTCCCTGACCTCTGGGTGTGTCACCCAGGAAGCACTTGCCCCACTTTGCAAGCTGACAAACCTGACAGGGCACCAAAGGACTGTCCTGTGTGCTAGACCATGGATATCATCTACCCAAGGCCATTTACTGGCTGTGTGATTTTGGGCAAGTCCCTTGACCTCTCTGTGCCTCAGCCTCCTTATCTGTAGAGTGGGGATAATAATCACATCAACCTAACAGACATTGCAGCTGAAAAGGAGTCAGCACAGGCCTGGGGCCTGGTGGGCTAGCAGAGCCTGACATGGGAAATAACAACGCTGAAGGAAGGGCTGCCAGGCTCACTCCCCTGCAGGTGAGGCCAGAGGTTTGCAGGCCTGCCTAGTCACTGCACCCCACGCCTGGCCAAGGAACCAAGGTTTAACCCCATGAAGGCAGTGGCCTGCTGAAGGCTGGGCTGGGGCCCTGGCCTCGGGCCCCTGCCTCCACACATCCTGGTAGCTCTGGTCACCTGTGGTAAGGGGCTGCCACGGAAACCCCCAGGGTGGTGGAAAGTCCAAAATTCTACAGGCGCCTCTTTGTTAATCTCCAAGCAGGAAGCTCGGTGGCGCCCATGGCAGGGTGGCCAAGCTGGTGACACAGGTGCATTCGCAAGGATTTCATGTCTGTAAATGTGCAGTGAGGACTTTGATCTCAGCAGTTTTTCAGTTCCCCTTGAACAGCTGCCCCATGGCTAAGGTGTCCCTTGACAACATCTGAGCCACCCGGGGGGAAAAAATCCACTGGGTGCAGGGTGCCAGCAGAGGATAGGGAGGCCCAGAAAGGGATGCTGAGTTGCCACAGGGCCGCACTTACTGGTTGCCCCCAAAGCCACAAGCCAGGTCCCCGCACCACTGGGTGCCTGTGTGTGGCAATTTTGGAGACTGCTGCCCAGTTGGTACCAAGAGATGTGACACGAAGGGGCTTTGCTTTTGTGAGACCTGGGCCCACATGAGTAAGGAGGTTGGGAGCACCCCAGAGGATGGCAGGAGCCCCCCGGTGCTGGGTTTAGGGCTGAGCCCAACTTAATGCTTTCTTTCATATTTCTCACACTTGCAGGGAGAGCAGAGGCTGGGAGGTGGCTGCTGGGCTTGGGCTGGGAGAGGATGGCCCTCAGAGCAGGCAGCCTGGCCCTGCCCAGCTTTGGTGGGGCCTGAGGGATGGTCCCCCTGGGCAGCTGTGGAACGCATAGAGCAGGACAGGCTGGCAGTGCCCCAAGTCCCATGTCTTCACAGCAGGGCAGCCAGTGGGCACAGAGCCCCAGAGGCAGGCAGCGTGAGGGCCCTGCTGCAGCGCCAGAGTCCCCGGGACATTCTATGGGAGAGCCAGCCTGTTCTGACCTGCACCAGCTCAGCACTCCACACAGGCCCAGGCTCTCTGTGATGCCAAGCCCCAGCCCCCGCCACTCACACTCTCCACCCCGTGCTCGGGGCTCCACTCGGCCTCCCCGGTCCAGGCTTGCCCCTGGACAGCGCCATAATGCCTGCTGCCTTCCCTGGAGCAATCTCAGCATGTCCAGAACTGAACTCTCAGGGCCCAAGCCTGGAGGCTGCAAAGAAACCAAGACAGGACCCCAAGTCAGGAGGGGCCCTCCCAGCTCCCTACCCTTAGCTCTCTGGGGCCCCACCCACCCCCAGGCCTGACCTGCTGGGCCTCTGTGGCCCAGTGCTCTTGGAAGCCCAGGTCCTCTGCATGCCTGCCCATGTGCTGCCTGGGATTCTGTTCCCACCACATGGACCTGGGAACCTGTGTTGCCACCCCATCCAGGAAGGTTCCGTGCTTCCCCAGAGGCCTCTGTCCCTCCACCTGAGGCCCCTACAGCCCAGGCCTCTGGGGGCTGTGGAGACAACAGTGCCTACTTCCCACCTGCACCCTGCCCTAGTCCAGCCCCCCAGAGGCCCCTTATCCAGGCCTCTCTGAGACTCTGGAGCCCCTGGCAGGCCCTCCTGGTGCCCAGACCTGGGCCAGGGGATGGAGGGCATCTGTCCTGGCTGCCCCCATTTTGAACAGGACCACGTTTTTGGAATTGAGACGCCTCCCAGAACTCTCACTGAGGGGTCAGCCCTCAGTCCAGATGCTTCCTTTACAGAGGAAAGAAAAGCCCAGAGCCTGCTAGCAGGTGCGGGAGGGAAGCAGGTGCAGGATTGGGGCTGGCAGTGAATGGAGTCTTCTCTGCACTCAGTGACAGGCAAGTTTCCATTCCTGCCCCTCCGCAGCTCTCCTGGGCCCTGATTGGCTCTGAGCAGCGTGCCCTTTGCCCTTTCCTCAGTGAGTCAGGTATAACAGCACCCAGGGCCAGCTGGGCTCGGCCCCACGGAGGTCCCCGTCCAGGTGCCAGCGGGAGCCAGAAGGCAGGCATGGCCCAGACACTCCACAAGTCCAGCGGCACCCTGAGGCCGCGGGACCCCAGGCGGGGAGAGGGGATGCCGACCTCCGCGGTCCCGGACCTCGCTATGGCGGGGGAGGCCCGGGCTGGCGGGGATGCGGCGCTGCGCCGCCTCCTGAGGCTGCACCGCACTGAGATCGCCGTGGCGGTGGACAGCGCCTTCCCGCTGCTGCACGCGCTTGCTGACCACGACGTGGTCCCCGAGGACAAGTTCCAGGTGGGCCCCAATCCAGACCCGCAATGACCCCCTGCCTTCCCCAAACCCAGGCCCTCCAGCAGGGGGCACGTAGCCTACCCGCCCCGCCGCTCCAGACCCTCCAACCCTCTCCGCTCTTCCCCTCCCCGCGCCTCTTCCGCGACCCCAATGCCCCGCCCACGAGCCTGGGACAGTGTTCCCCGTCAGCCGCTCCCAACTTTGCCGCCGCCCTCCAGTCCCCTACCCCGCAATCCCCAACGCCATCTGCACGCCCTGCCCACAGCCAGGGGCAGAGTGCCCTGCCCCCAACACCCCTGCCGTCCCCATGCCCCGCCCACAAGCAGGGATTGGGGGATGGTCCCCAGGACAAGTTCCAGGTGTCCCCCGTCCCCACCCCAGATGCCCACCGCCCCCTCCTTGCCCTTCCTATGCCCCCAAGCCAGAGGCCCCGGTCCCCTAGGTGAGTTCCAAGTTCCCTCACCCCAGCGCCCTCGGCTTCCTCTTCTGTCCCAAGCCAAGGTGCCCAGGCCGCTCCTCGGGGTCCACCACCCTCTAGCCCCACTGTGAGGGCTGCAGGACTGGGGGAGCCCTGGAAGCAGCAGGCAGGGCCCCTCCATACACACACAACTCATCCTTCAGGAGACGCTGCGTCTGAAGGAGAAGGAGGGCTGCCCACAGGCCTTCCACGCACTCCTCTCCTGGCTCCTGACCCGGGATGCAGCTGCCATCCTGGACTTCTGGAGAGTTCTCTTCAAGGACTACAACCTGGAGAGATACGCGCGGCTTCAGCCCGTCCTAGACAGCTTCCCCAAAGGTGCAGCACCGGGCTGGGCTGGGGTCGCTCGCTGGCCCCGGCCGGGCCGTAGGAGGGAAGGGGTGTGGAGGTCAGGGGCCCTGCACTTCACCCGGGATGCTCTTGGATTCTAAGAGGCCAACGGCCGGGCCTCGCTCCCTGCCCGGGGTGTCAGCTCCCCGCCTGAGGCTCGCCCTGCTTCTGCTTGCGTCCTGCAGATGTGGACCTCAGCCAGCCCCGGAAGGGGAGGAAGCCCCCTGCCGGCCCCAAGACCACAGTGCTGCCGCCCAGACCCCCCTCCAAGAGGAAGGCCTCGGAGGAGCCGCGCGCCGCCCCGGTGGCAGTGCTGTTGCCGAGGGGCACCTCCAGCCCAGGTACCCGGTGTGAGGAGCTGCCGGGGTTCGGGCTTCCCGGGGAGGCCCAACAGGCTCCACCACACTCCCTCCCCACCGGCTCCGGAAGCACCTGCCCCGCCCGCTCCGACAGCCAGCCTGGGGGCTGCCGAGGTCCCCTCTGGGTGCTCCCGCGGATGAACCTGGCGGCCCCGGTTGCCCCAGGACCCGGTGAAGTGGACAGGTGGGGGTTCCTTCCTTTCTTGTGATGCGGACAGCGGAGCCCTGCAGAGCAAGGGAATCCACAGGCGGGAGACCCACCCCGCTGCTCTCCACCCCTGCGGCCACCTCGCCCCCTGCAGGCTCCCAAGGGAAGGCCAAGCCCTCCAAGAGGCCTGACGGAAACGCAGAGCCGCAGCGCCCCCCACTGGGGAACGGTGAGCCAGCCCCGCCGCTCCAGCCTCCCCCCGGGGCTGGGCCTGCGCCGCCATAGTGTCGACCCAGAGACGCGCTGCGCCTCGGTTCATCCCCAGCCCGTCCCCGCGTCCTCATCCCTCTGGGCCAGCCCAAACTCGGCTTCCTGCACGCAGCTTGGGCCTTTCTGTACCCCCGCCCCAGGCACCGGGTCCCAGAGACCTAAGGCGCCTGGTGCTGACCCCAGGGCAGGCCCCGGGAGCTCTGTCTCCCTCCCAGCACTACCCAGGGCCACGTCTGGGGTCCTTGCTCCTTCCTGGCCCCTGCGTTCAGGTAGCTTACACACCACACGTGACACACCTCACCATGCACGACACACACCCCACACCTCACACCACAAGGCACACACACAGCTTGTCTCTGCACTTACGCAGGGGCTGTCTGTCTGTCTGGAGGCCTGCCTGGGCAGAAGGAAAAGAGTCCCCTGTCCAGGTGCCTCTATCCACTGCTGCCCTCGAGGAGGTCCTCAGAGGCCATCTTCCCAAATGATGACCCCGTCTGGTGCTCCCTTCCCCAGGAATTCAGACCATGTCTGCTTCGGTCCAGAGAGCCGTGGCTGTGTCTTCTGGCGATGTCCCAGGAGGCTGCGGGGCAGTGGAGGGCATCCTCATCCAGCAGGTGTTTGAATCAGGTAGACGGGCTGGGCCCCTGGATCCCTATCCCCTTAAGCTCTCTGGTGGCCCCAGAGCAGCTGGGACTGTGAACAGGGCAGCCAGCAGCCCTTGCGTGTCCTGCCAGCTCTGGAGGGGCAGGGGGCTCTTGGGTGCATGTGCTGGGACCTTCTGGGAGGCCCTGATCACCTCTGAGCACTTGGACAGCCCATGGGGAACTTGGGCTCTCACCCTCAGAAGCTCGCCCTAGCAGGTCTGAGGTCTCTGGAGCCCAGGGCCATGCCCTCTGAGCAGGAGAGCCTGTGCCCCCTCCTTCCCCCGCCCTCTGCACTGGGCACGTGTACAGGCACCTAGGACAGCCAGGACCAGTTGGCAGGGAGCTGGTAGGCCCTGGCCTCCCAGCAGAGGTGGTCCCAAGGACCCTGTACTAGTTTCCTGAGGCTGTCATAACAAATTGCCACAAATCTGATTGTTTAGAACAACAGGAATTCCCAAATGGAGGTGCCAGGGGGCCATGCTCCCTCGGGGCTCCAGGGCCATCTTTCCTGGCCTCTCCCAGCTCCTGGCAGCGCTGGCCATCCCGGCCCCTGTGCACACATCTCTCCAGCCTCTGCCTCCATCATCAGAGGGCCTTCGCATCTGTGTCATAAGGACAGCAGTCAGTGGATGTAGGGTCCAGAGCGAACCCATCTTAACTTGTTATATCTACAAAGACCCTACTTCCAAAGAAGGCCACTTTCTGAGATTCTAGGGGGACATGGATTTGGGGACATGCTTTGCCCAGACAGTCCTCAGCAGGGAGTCCAACCTGTGCCCAGGACCTGGCCCAGACCTTACAGGGCAGGTGGGGAAGAAGAAACAGTGGGCGCCCACCTCTCTGTGGCCCACCTGCTGCTGGCTGGGGCCTGCCCTGAGCTGAGCCGGTGGCTGGGGCCAGGCAGCGTCTCCTCCCAGGTGGCTCCAAGAAGTGCATCCAGGTCGGTGGGGAGTTTTACACTCCCAGCAAGTTTGAAGACCCTGGTGGGGCAAAGAACAAGACCCGCAGCAATAGCAGTGGCCTGAAGACCCTGGTCCGATCCAAGGGAACCCCAGCCTCTGCCCCAGTGAGTGCTGCCATGGGCACCCTGGGGCCCTCGGCACCTCTGCCCCTGCACACACTCTCCTGGGGCTGCCCTGGGGGGCTCCTCGCTGGCCCTCCCATTGGTGACCCTCCCTATTCTACCTCACAGAGTGGAGGGGACCCACGGGCAGGTCAGCAGGGCAGGGTCCCAGCCCCTCTTGCCCTCCCCAGTGAGCCCCAGCTCCACCAGGTAAGGCCCGGGCTATGGGAGGAGCCCCTCATACCCAGGACCTTGCGGGTGGGTCCTTCTGCCACTTTGTCCCTTGCCCAGAGCACGCACTCTGACGACGAGGACAGGGCCTCAGCTTCTGGTCATGGGGTAGAGCTTTTTTTTTTTTTAATAGTATTTTTTCTGACGACAAATAATCATAAAAATTTAAATAACCGCCAGAGAAAGTGAGTCTTTCCAGGATTTTAAAACCATGTGTCTGTTTTTTTTAAAAAAAGCCAGCTCTCTCGTGTCTCACAGCTGGGCCTGTGGGTGGGGCGGGGCCCTGTGGGGGGCAGGACCCTGAGCAGCAAGCACGCTCCCAGCACCGCTTCCTAGCGAGGCAGAGCTGGCCACGGATCCCCATGCCTCTGCGCCTGGCATTGTGCCAGACCCCCGCCCCCAGGAGTGAGGGCCCAGTGGCCCCCTGCGGGGTCTGAGGGACCACTACAATGAGTGCTCATCGCGGCAGTCCAGGGTGGCTTCTGGAGGAGGCAGCATCCAGGAGGGTATGGTGGCCCCGTCCAGGCAAGGGCACCAGCAGGGAAGGGCTGCGTGGGGGTGGGGGTGCAGCCCAGGGTGCCCACGAGATACCCGCTTTCTGAGTGCCGAGTCTTCCCAAGAGGGATGGCCCAGGAGCGAGCGGTGGGGACTAGAGTCCGACAGGTGGACAGAGCCACCATGTACGGAGCAGGCTGCAGGGCGGAGTTCCAGGCCCCGCCAGCAGGGGCCGGAGGGGCTCCGGTACCCCCTGGGGCGCCGCAGAGGGGCTGTTCTGGGGGCTGTGGGGGGGGGGGCGCCGCCCGCCCGACCCCGCGGAGGACCGTGTCCACCTGTGCCAGAAGAACGACGACGAGTGTGCCGCGTGCCGGGACGGCGGGGAGCTCATCTGCTGCGACGGCTGCCCCCGGGCCTTCCACCTGGCCTGCCTGTCCCCACCACTGCAGCAGGTCCCCAGGTGAGCCCATCGTGCCCGTCACCTCCACGGCGCCCAAGGCCCTACCCGAGGGGGGCTGCCCAGAGACCTGCATTCCCCAGAGTGGGGCTGGGGCCTGGGACTCTGCTGCCCACCTTCCTGTGTGGCCACACTGTCCTCCCAGACGGGCCAGTGGGGCCCCTGAGGGTGGTGAGGCGGAAGGGAGGCCCGAGGCAAAGAACGGCTCTCCTGCCCCAGAGCAGCCACGCTCTGCGGCCCAGACTCCCGTGAGCATCCAGCCCCACCCCAACAAGGCCCTACTCTGGACGGGAGTTGGGGGAGGGAGCACAGATGCGCAGAGCTGCACCCCAAGGTCCTTGGCGGGCGTGAGGCCTCCGAGGTCTGCCTCCTGGCACCCAATCCCATGGCCCAGTGGGCCACACCCTCCACCACCGGCCCCCACAGGCTAGCCCGATCTGTGGGGAAGAGCTGGGTGGGAGAGGAGACCCCTGCCCAGCTCCTGAGTGACCTTGAGCAGGTCACATCTCTCTGAGGTGCTTTGGCACTGAAACGGGGGTGTTCAGGTCATGACTTAGCTCCCACTGACACTGACTATCTGCTGCTCTTCTGTTCTCTTCCTTCCTGCCCTTGACCATGTCCCCTTCTGCTGGGCACCATCCCCCTGTGGAAATGTGGGTGGTCCTGGGGCTATAAACACTCCAGGAGAGAGACCCCCGCTGGGCAAGGCCCATGAGAGCCACCCACAGGCCACTGTTGGAGCTCATCAGAGAGGCGCTCAGAGGGAACAGTGACCATGCTGGGGAGGGCCGCCCCACCTGGGGTAAATATCCCAGCATCCTGGGCTCTCTATTGACTGGCTGGGGCAGGACCTTCCATCATGGCTCTGCCTGGGCCTCAGTTTCCACAACTGTAAAGGAGAGAGTGACCCGGAAGAACCCTCCGGTCTTGCCTGCTTCATGAGTCTACCGCCCCCTCTGCCTTGCCTTGCATGGCTGTGGCCGGGGACACCATGAGCAGCGGGACCTGGAGGTGCTCCAGCTGCCTCCAGGGAAGAGTCCGGCGGGACCTGCCCCTGGCTGAGGAGCCCCAGCCCCAGGAGCGACCTGCAGAGGCCCCGGTATGCACAGGCCCACGCCCAGGCCCTCTGTCCCTCAGAGTCCTGCCTCCTGGCCACTCCTGTGGGTCAGAGCTGCCCCAGCCATAGACCCGAACACCCCCGCTCCCTGACCTGCCATGGTTTTTGGCTTTCTACACTGGGAGGTTGCCATTCCAGTGAGCCTGTGTCTCAGCGCTCTGACTGGGGCCTCTGCTCACCCACCCAGCAGAGGAGATGCACTTGGACCACTGAGTCTGACAGCCCCAAGGGCTGTGGTGCCCTGTCTTAGAAGGGGAAAGGGTCCAGGGAGCAGCTGAGGGATGCCGAGATGGGATCTGCACCCGGTCCTTGCTGACCCATGAGGGGTTCCTCCATGACACCCGACTCGGTGCTCTGTGCTTCCCTGGCTGGGTGGTGCTGGTCAAGTACTTTGCATCCCCTCTGAGCACCGACCCTCTGGTTCCAGGTCTTCCTGGGACTGAGGTTGGCAGGAGAGGAGGAGAGGCAACAGTCCAGGAAGCCACCAACTGGAATGGACACTGCTGTCCCCTACAAGCACCTACTGGCCCCGCCTTCTGCAGCCCCGCTGCCAGTGCTGGAACCTTCGACCCTGTGCCCCCTGCTGTGTGTGGACCCCGATGGGCAGCAGGTAAAGGGTAGGCTGCCGTTGGGTGGCTGTCCAAAGGGAGCTCAAGGCCTGCAGAGCAGCCAGATGAACCTGGGGGCGGTGACATGCGGGACAAGGGGCATCTGTTTTCTCCTGGCTGCAGCCAGAGGTTTTTGGGCCTCCCTGACCCCCTGGCGCGGATGTGTGTCCCAGTCGCCCCGCTCTAAGACCCCGGGTCACCTTGCTGTACCCCCTGCAGGGCCTGGCGCCTGGCGCGCGGTGTGGCGTGTGCGGGGACGGCAAGGACACGCTGCGGTGCGCGCACTGCGCGGCTGCCTTCCACTGGCGCTGCCACTTCCCCGCGGGCGACGGCCGGCCTGGGTGAGTGTGAGGCTGTGAGGCGGAGCCGGGCGGAGCCCACCGGGGGTCTGCCAGGGACTCCAGCACCCCCACCAAGTCGGGCGACCGGCAGTGTCTAATGTCTCCTCCGCCCCACGCAGGGCCATCCCGCGCTGCTGGTCCTGCTCCGGAGACCCCGCCCCGACCCCCGAGGAGGGCGCGCCCGCCCCGAGACCTGCCGGCCTAGCTCCTGGGCCCGCCAAGGTCAGCGCGGCCGTGTGGGCCCTGGGCGGGGTAGCGCCGTTGGACGGAGGCTCCTGGTGCCAACCTCGCGAGCACGTACCACACCCAGGACAAGCGCTCCTTAACTGGCGTGATACTTTTTGTTTAAATCGCCCCCTGTGTGATTTACATCCACTTAGAAAGGAAACCGCCTAAGCAGCTGTGGCTCTGAGATCGCTGGTTGGATGGATGTCTGTTGCACGATTATGCTAGGCCCAGGGACCCCAGCCCCTGAGGTGCAGGGATTGGGGAGAGGTGAGGGGAATGCCCTAAGGCAGAAGCGGGCCCGCCAGGGCCCCCGGACCCCCGGCGCCTCCTGCTGAGACTCTCCCCAGGTGCAGCCTGCAGCTGGAAGCCCCAAGGAGGAGAAGCTCTCCATCCTACCTTATTGGCCCGGGTGCTGAGTGGCTGCTGCCCCAGGGCTCCCTCAGAACTTGGGGGGTCCGGTGTGTCCCCTGCTCAGTAGCCTCCGAGGGTGGTACATCTTGTCCTGACTGCCCACAGCCAGGCCCTTCCTGACCGTGTCCCTGAGACTCCCTGGGCCCCAGGGTAGTGACCGGCCCTACCCCCACCCATGGTCCAGCTTACTGCCCAGCTGTGCCCCATACTCCTGTGAACACAGTGTGGGCATCAGCCTCTCTGGCAGGGGGATGATCGCTGGACCAGGGCCCCACCCACAAAGAGGCTCTTGTGGAAGGAACCATGTGCTTTGGCCCACAACGGCTTGTGTCCAGTCCTGGAAACCTCTCACCCTCCCCACCCACCTACACAGTGTGTGTCCGAGCCTCTCACATGTCCCCTCCTGCAGGCAGCCATGGGGGATAGGCTCGCAGGAGGGAATCTCCCTCCCAAAGATTCTTGCTTCTTGATGCCTGGGTTCTCTTAAGAGCAAAGACCCCTTTCTTTTCATGGTGATATAAACGTAATGCCCTTAAAGAGCTGCAGCCCTTTGCCTTCCCTGGCCCTCCCCTTCCCCTCGGGTAGGCATGGGCATGTGAGTGTGGTCCCCAAATCCTGTCCCCAGTGCTTCTGCACACCTTCAAGCCCACCCCGCCTCCCCGGCCACTTTCCTCCCTGGGACTGAGGTTCTCCATCTGTGGCAGGGTTCTTTCTAGCTCGTTCTCCTAGTGGCCTGGCTTTCCTCCGTAGGCTGCATGCAGCATGGAGGCAGGCCAGCCTTGGGGACCTAGAGGTGGTATGCCCCCCTGCCTCCCATGCTTGCATACACCCACCACCCTGGGAAGGCGCTGGGTGTCAGGATTCAGTTCTGAGACCCCACCTGGAGAAGCACCCATAGCCCCACTGCCTTGGGACGGGCCACTTGGCCCAGGCCCTGTGCCTCGACAGGGAGTCCTGCCTCCTGTGCATGTGCCCAGCAGAGGTACAGAAGCTGGGATGACCTTCTTCCTTTCCTGGGTTCCAGGTAGGGGATGATTCTGCTGGTCACGAGCCAGTTCTGCACAGGGATGACCTGGAGTCCCTCCTGAGCGAGGTAATGCATCACCTGGTGGGTGTTACTAGCCCCTCTGCTGGCTCTCAGGCAGCCAGCACAGAGCTTCTGCCACTCAACAGGAGGCCTGAAGGGAGCCCTGGGCCCCTCCCAGAGCCCTGGGGGGCTGGTGGCTGCAGAACCTCAGCGTCAACTGCTGAAGCTTGACTTAAGGACTACAACTTTCCCAGGGGTGGGCACCCTGGAACCCCTCCCATTTAGTGGGCCCCTCACACCCCCATCTCAACCCAGTCCTCTCTACCCTAAGATGACCAGCTAGAATCACTGGAAGAGAATGAGGGTTTTAAAGGTCTCATTGCTTCTGACAGAAGGTCAAACTCCCCCAGCCATCCCCAGCCCCCAGGGGGCCAACACATGTTCTCCTTGGGCCCCGCCCGGCACCTGGGGACCCCAGCTGACCACGGTCCCTGTCCTGTAGGATGGGCTGCACACAGAAGGTCCCAGAGAACACAGGGAGACCCCAGGGCCCCGGGAGGGTGAGAGGCGATCAGGTGCTGGGTGAGGGGGCTGTAGCTCTGGGAGGGGTGGGTTGCCTCATATAGTAGGAGAAAGGGGGCAGAGTCACAGACCCCTTCTGGTCAGGTCCCCCCCATTCTGTTGGAATATTGGGCCTCCCCATGACTCCCCCGATCCTGTGAGAAGGTCAGGCCTTGAGCAGAGTGGGGGAAGGAGCTGGCCCTGCCTCACCCCCAGGAGAGAGGCCGTCCAGGAGGGCAGGACAGCCGTGATGGCTGTGCTCTGGGCTTTCGGGGGTACCGTGGGGCTCTGGGCAAGGAGGTCTCCCTCGATGACACACCCTGTGGGCACAGAAGCCCCACCTCTGAATAGGAGGGTCACACTCCGTGGTGCCTTCATGGTGTTTGTGATTCCAGGTGACCCCGGAGGCCAGGGTGGGCCAGACATGGGTGGGGTAGGCACATCTGTCCTGCTGGAGGTTCTGGCAGGTCCCCAAGCTCCCTGCTCCCTGCTCTGCCTTGCAGCACAGTTTCGATGGCATCCTGCAGTGGGCCATTCAGAGCATGTCCCGCCCGCGGGCCGAGGCAGCTGCCTTCCCCTCCTGACCCAGGACAGCCGCAGCCTTCAGGGAGGCATGGGAGTGGGTGGGGCGGCACCCACAGACGTGGCCATCAGCGGATGCCAGTGAGCGCCCACTCATGCTCACAGCAACTCTGCTCGGAGAGGGACCGAGGGGGCCATGGCTCCCTGCCCACCCTGCTGCCCTGGGAAGCTGGCCAGTCTGGGACCAGGAAGAACTGGAAAGTTCTAAATGCTATCAGTACTTGGCTTATAGACACAGTCCTGCCCTTGCAGTGATACAAGGCCATCATGTGCACTAAAATTAAAATCACTTATTTGTGGTCTTTGACATGTTTTCCAGTGGGGTGTTTGTTCTGGGGACTCTGTAGCCTGCGGTTCTGGTCCCTAGAGTGAAGGCTGAGCTGCTGGTGGGGAGCTCACTTTACCGGGAGGGGAAACGCCTCTGTGTAGTTGGAAACGGGCAGCACGCTCCATCTCTGGTGGCTTCCCACAGCCCCTGGAGTAGATCCAAGCCTGTGGTCAGTGCCTCTGCCCTGCACTGTGCTTCTGACCCCTCTGCTCCTCCAACGGCCACATACATAGCCATCCCGGGCCTCTGCACAGCTCCTTCCTCGCCCAGAATCTCCCTTCCTGGGTGCTGCCCACATCAGCTTCCCATCAGTGATGTCTCAGCTGCAGAACCTCCTTTTCATTTATTCCAGAAAGCTTTACTGTGGTGCTTCTGTTGTGGAGCATTTTTCCAGGCATTAATCCTGAGAGATATTGCAGTGGTGGGGGATGGATTACATACATGCAGGAGGGGACCTCAGGACGGCTGCTGAGAAGCATGATATGGGACAGGGCTAGGGGTGGGAATGCTGAGGACAGACACCAGGTCCTGTGACTGGGGCACAGTGGGCCATGGAGGACAGTGCTGGGCCTCAATTTCCTCCTGGTGTCTTCTACCAGGACTTTCTCACCAGCCACCCAAGCTCCTGGAGGGGCAGAGGTTGAGTCTGTCCTCCTGACCTCACTGGGTCTGTGGGTAAAATTGCAGTATTTCCAGAAAATCTCATCTGGCTTTAGTGCATCTCTGTGTCAATAGGTGTTTCCAAGGGGTGGAGATAAGTAGTCTATCTCCCCATCAACAGGTAATTACAGGGGCGAGCAAGGGCATATCAAGACCGCAGAGGCTGGGTGGGATCCCTTTTTCTGCGGCCGGATTGCGAGACACACGGAAGAGCAGAAGTGGTGATTGTAAGAAATAAACGGGTTTCTCCTGCTTTATTTCTCCCTTTGACTGATACGGGTTTCAAAGGTATTTTGATCCTGGGTCACCACCCCTCCCGACCTGAGTTACAGGGTCCCCATTGCCTGAGGCCCGGCTTGGGGGAGGGGCTCCATTATTTGGCGTGGCCGACCCACTGACCATGCAGGGTAGAGGCCTCTGTCCTGAATAGGTACCCACCACCACACTATGCCAGGTGTGCAAGAGTTTTCCCAGCGTCCAGCACGTGGTTATAGGGGCAAAGAATATTAACACTCCAAGGCTCTGTGCCATTAGGCATCTTGATCAGACAGCGGCCCTCGGGGAAACGCCCCGGTCGGCGTGGAGGGTGCCTGCGCTCCAGCAGTGAACTTCTTGAAAAATGAAGTTAAAGTAGATCCGGGCCTAGAATTACAAACCGCAACGGAGAACGGCGATCGGCCCAGGGGCGCCCTCGGGCGTGCCCGCGGCCCTGCCCGGCTCTGCGCTGGGCGGGGCCGGCTGCAGCTTTCCGGAGAGCTGCGCTGCACCTGGAAAGGGGGACGTGGCTCCTCCAAACACGCCGCGCGTTGTTAAGTCCACCGGCGCAGAAACCAGAACGTGAGGGCTCCGCGGCCAAGGCCGCAGACTGCCCAGCAGTGGGGACCCCGGGACGCGAGGACGCGGGGACGCGGGGACGCGGCCCCCCCCCCGCCCCCGGGGAGCGACACGGACGGCCCGCCCACCCCAGTCTCCCGCCCGGCCGCGGGGAGCAGTGACCTCACGAGTGCGGGGGCGGGGCGGCGGCGCGGAGCGGGGCGGGGCGAGGTACGGGGCGGGGTTGGCGACAGTGAGAGCCAGGAGCCAGGCGGCCTTCTCCGCAGCCATGGCCACCGTGGATCTGGAGAAGCTGCGGATGTCGGGGGCCGGCAAGGCCATAGGCGTGCTGACCAGCGGCGGCGACGCGCAAGGTGGGCGGCGCGCGGAGCTTGTCGCCGGGCGGGGGCAGAGGAGCCTGCTTGTCCCCGAGACCCCCCTGCGCTCCCGCCGCCGCTCTGCCGGGACCTGGGGGCGCGCGCCGGCCGCCTCTCTGCCCAGGCCTGCGACCCCGTCTTGGTTCCCGGCCCCGTAAGGTCGGCCGCCCCCGACGCGCGCGGGTTGCCGCGTACGTGCCGCCCGCAGCTGCCTCCGCGCCCCGCCTCGCGCCTGCCGCCCGGGGGTGTGTCTGTGCGGCCGGCAGCGGCCCGGGAACGCGGCGCGTGGCGAGCGCCTGACGGCCTCCCCGGGTGTTCTCCGCGCCTCTTCCCAGGCGGCACGTGTCGGGAGCCCCATTTCCCGGAGGAGTGTCACCGAGGGCTTGCAGGTCTCCGCAGGCCCGGAGAGCACGGCTCTTCCTGGTTCTGAAAGGCGACCTGCCACAGTGCCTTTCCCAGACTGCGCCCCCCAGGGCCGCCCTGGCGCCGTCCCCCTCGCATTCCTGCTTCTCCTGGGGGCCAGGTGAGGCCTCAGGTAGACCAGGGAGCCAAGCTGCTGAGCAGCAGGCCGCACCGCCTTCTTCCAGCTCAGAAGCTAGGGAGAGCCAGGAGGAGGCTCTCACTAGCCCAGGAAGGCAGAGAGAACCAGCTGCCCCTCTGCAGCCTGTCTGCACCGGGGCCCCTGCGGATCTGGGCTGAGCCCACTGGCCTGGTCCTGCTGGTGGACAGCACACTCTGCTGCCCGTCCACATTCCCCTGTGGGCAAGCAGCTGCTCGCTGTGGCTGGAGCTCCTCAGAGTGTGGCCTGGTGGGCTGGGCCGAGGTGAGCAGGCTTGGAGGGTGGCATCATCCCGTGGAATTAAACTTTGGGAAAGGCCAGGTGTGTGGGAAGACAGACATCCTGAGAGGGCTGCGCGCACCTGCCAGAGAGGCGGGGGAGACCCTGACGCCCGTGGCCCTGTGGGCATGGGGGTCTCCACGTGGCTCCTGTCCCCACAGTGCAGACAGCACCTGAGGGGGTTGGGAAGGCCGAATGGCATTCATTGGGTGTGGTGCGAAGCCCTGTGGGTGGCATGTTTCCCCACCCTGCACAGACTAAACACGATAGGGGAGTCAGTGGGCATGGCTGAAGGGCCAGGGAGGAAGGGGCCTTGGCAGCCTAGGCAGGTGGACCAGGGGAAGGCAAAGCTTGTCCGAGTTGGGGGCTCTGGACCAGCCTGGCCCTGGTGCCTCACCCAGGATGGGCAGCGCTTAAGTCTGCATGAGTTAGAATGTGTGAAAACCAGCCAAGCGCATGGAGAGGAGGGCCGGACCCTGGTTCTGGGTGGACTGGGTTGACCAGCTCTGTGACCCTGGTGCTTCCCTCAGGCCGAAGTTTCCCCTTCTGTAAACAGGGGAGGGGGCAAAACCAGGCTCCTGGCAGGTTTCTTCCAGCCAGCCCGGGAGTCACACCCTCCTTCTGCCCCTGTCTTGCCCTCCTACTGGCCTGGAGAGCCTGCTGGTGGAGGGAAGCTGCGCGCTCAAGGACACTGGCCTGCTTCCTGCAGAAGTCACTAGGAGACTGAAATAGCCCAGCCCACCCATTTTTCTACCCAGAATCTCTTGGGGTGACCCCCTGCCCGCCCCTAGCAACACGCAGGACCTGCCTTTGCAGTTGGCCAGCGTGGGCGTGGTGGCCCTGAGTTTGCAGGTGAGAATTCAGCTCCCCACCCACCCCCAGCGCAGTACCCAAGCCAGGCTCCGAGGACATGTGTCAGCCATAATCAAGTGATGCTCTGTTGAGCCGTGTCATCTCTTGGTGCCTGCTTTCCTGTACGTTTTGTTTTTCTGGGAGCTAATTGTGATGGAAATGAAACACATGTTGGGAGTGAAAGCACCCACCTAGGGCCTCAGTCTGGTTGCACTGTTGACGCATCACCCTGACTTTCTGCTGCAGTTTCCCTGCCTGCTTTGACAGTCAGGGGTCTCCAGCCAGGGACCCTGAGGAGCTTGTGGCTGCCACCAAGGTTTATTCTGAGAGAAAGAAAAGCAGATTAAATGGCAATTAAGGCCTTTTTGAAACAAAGCATCCTGGGAGGTTTAAGGGAAACCCATGCCCTCAGGCTGCCGTCTCCATGGCAGCTGGCACCGTCATTTGTTCTACTTCTGAAAGGCTGAAAACTACCTTAATCCTGGGGCCCCTTTGCTGTCCCTGGAACTCCAGGCAAGCCCATGGGTGACTAGTGACATGGCCTAGACCTGGGGCTGGCCTGCCTAGCAGCACCTGGAGCCAGGAGTAACCAGAGAGCCCTTGGGCTGGACGTGGGCCTGGGTCCCTGGCCACAGCACTCCCCCATCCTGTCTCCCTGACCCATCTGTCTGGAGCTGCTGGCCTCCCTCCTGCCTGAGAGGTGGGGCTTGGACCTTGAGCCTGCAGGAAGCCCAGAGTGGCCTCAGCCCAGCGGTACTGGAGAGAATGGCCTGGGCTGGCCTAGGTCAGTGAGGCAGCTGCATGCCTCCGCACCAGGCCTGCCGGGGGAGGGGGAGGGGTGGTGGGGGAGCTTGAGTGGTGTCTCTTCTTGGGGAGGGGGAGGCCTGCGGCTCTGGGGCCCCCTGACCTCAGGCAGCAGGACTTGGGGCTCTTCAGATCTGGCTCCTGGACCCCCAGCTGTGGGGCTGGGAGAGCAGTAGGGAGGGGGGTTGTACTCTCTGGGCTTCTGCACCTAATGTCAGTCTCCACAATGCTGCTTCCATCTCTTTGGGGGACACGAGACATGATTTCTTTAGGAACAGGGTTCTCTTGCTAAAGTCAAGCATGTAAGCCATGAGTGTGGCGAGCTCAGGTCCCAGCTGGCCTCTGCTCTCTGCCCTGATGTCTGGGCACCACTGTGCCAGGAGTCCCTGGCACTGGAGGTCGGGCAGCAAGAGCCTTGGCTGCTGGGTGGGGACGGAGCTTCTCACTGTGCCCCAGGAGGGTTCCAGAGTGTATCTGACACAGCCCTCAGCTGTTGGGGCTCCGGCAGGTCCCCTGCGCTCCCTCTGGGACCTTGGGTGTTCACCCGCACGTGGGATAGGGTAAGGGCTTGGCTGCTTTTGTGGCAGCCTGGTGCCATGGGCCTGTGTGTGGGAGAGGCTCTGCCCACTGGGCTC